AGCAGCCGCCGCGGTGACGACGTCCCGGGATGACGTCACCAAGCGGTGTTGAAAATGGGAGCTTTGGGCTTGGGTGGGTGGTGGTGGGGGAGAGTGTGGGTGGCAGTAGACGCTTCAGGTCTGATGGGTCCCTCCCGTGGTGGCTCGCCCACCCACCCCCCTTCCCGGCTTTAGACCTCCCTCCCTCTTTTTGCCTTTGGGTGCTCCTGGAACACGGATAGAAGTGGGGGGGGGGATTAATTTTCCAGTCATCATTCCTTCAAACCGAAAAATAAATAAGTCCGTATGACTCATCTTCTGTTACAAACCAAAAGCAACCACTAAGTGGTTCTTTCCTTCCTTTTTTATTTTATTTTTTTTTTATATATGAAATGGAGCAAACAAAAGCACATCCCCAAACTCTTGTTATGTGGCACATACTGGCCGAATTGATGAATGAGAATGCTCTAGGAATCAGTCAGTCCTTTTCTTTCCTGTAAGTCTTTTTGTTGGGGGAGTGGAGCTCCTGTCGTTCCACCAAGCAACTTTCTTGCCCAAAGTGTGTCTTCAGTGCCGGTGGGTTTTCTGTTCCGTCATAGGTGCTACACATGAAGTATAAACGAAGCTTCATGAAGTGGGGCGTACCTCACATTTTTCAGGGGAAGGGAGATTGTACAGCAGTTGGAGTAGACTGAGGTTCTGTGTGCTCACACACACTGTTCTGTGAGGATTCCATCCACCAGTTCGTGATAGCAGTAGGTGAATTTGGCCTTCGGAGAGTCCAAGAGGAAGGTTTGGGTATCTTATCTTCCCATGCAGGATCAGAGTGAGCGTGGCTGCCAGGACACAGCTCAGATAACTATGTAGAATTTGTTTTACAGTGAGGTCGCTTGTTTGCATTTGCATTAGACAAGAAACTTAAAAGAGCAGTTTGAGAAAAGAAAGCTGAAAGGACCAGGTGCTCCTGAGTTTTTGTCGTTGTTTTTGATTTGTTAGAACCGGCTGTTGTGAAGCTAGTTCGCAGTTATAATCAATACAGTAGGGCCTGTCATTGGCGCCCAGAAAGATGACGTTACTTAGGAAATGCTGCATCTGAAGATCTCCAGGTTACTTTCATCTGCCAAATGAATGAGCTCATCTCAAAGCATATATGTATTCAAAACAACCCCAGAACAGCCTTTGTGGATTAATCAATGACAAATCAGATTTTCTATTTTAAGAGTCCTTAATGCAGCTCCAAAACGTAACTGATTATTTAATTTTTTGAGTGATCCTGAATTTATGTTCTGTTGACTATGTTTTAATACTCACTGTGTTGTCTAAGCTTTTTAGGAAAAAAAAAATATATATATATATATATATATATGTTCCTGAAAGAGTATGTGCAAAACACTCAGTGCAGGAAAAAAACAAAACTTTTAATGTGTAACAGCTTTATTGAAGTATAATTCATATATACAACTCATCCATTTGAAATAAACAAGTGCTCCTGGCATAGTCAGCATTGTAAAGCCAGGACAGTACTCAGTTAGAATATTTTTATCACAGCAGAAAATTAACCTTGGACCTACTAGAAGCTTTCCTCCTGGTCCTCCACGCCTCCTGCCTCTAGGCCAGTCAGTCTGATCACTCTCTGTGTAGACTTACCTGTTCTGGACATTAAAATGAGGGGAATCTCAATATGTGGTATTGTGTGCTTCTGCTTTGCCTTTCCATGGTATGTGTATGGGTCTCCCATCTTGTACCACATGTTAAGACTTCATCCCTTGTAATTGCCAGTTCCATTGTTCGTGTATACCATACTTTGTTCATCATTTGGTGGGTATTTGGAATGTTTCTACTTTGTAGCTGGTATGAATAGTGCTGCCATGGACATATCTGTACATGTTTTTTGTGGGGGCATATGTTTTTGTTTTCTTGGGCTTCTAGCTAGTAAAATTACTGGAAATGTCATAGCTCTTTAACCTTTAGAGAGAACTACAAATCTCCAAAATGAAGCTATCGTAGTAAATTTTAATGATTTTTTTTTCTTTACTTTTTATGTGTATGGGTGTTTTGCCTGCATGTATGTATGGCCACCATATGTGTGCCTGGTACCCTGGAAGGTTAAAAGCTCCCCACCCCCCACTGGAGTTACAGATTGTTAATAACTACCATGCAAATCCTCTGCAAAGTAGCAAGTGATCTTAACTGTTGAGCCATCTCTCCAGCCCTGAGGACTAGATTTTCAAATGGACTCTTCTGTTTTCTGTTTCAAATCATCTCACCGAATTTGTAACTTGAGTTAGAGTTTGACTTATTTAGTAAAACTGGTGTAGTATTTATTACACTGATTCTTTTGGGGTGTTACTTGGTTTTATTTTAGTCATCAGAAGCAATGTGATGTGTTCTTCACTGAACTACTGCTTAAAACTAAGTAGTAAGAATCCCAGTAGTATTTCCTAAGAGGTCTCTGAGTATGAAAAAACATTAGTGATTATTACTGGACATGTATACAAGGTAAAATTGAAAGGAGAGGAGAGAGCTGTAAGGGGGCATATTGTACAGAACTTTATTTTCCTGCATGCGTGCGGTTTTTGTTGTTGCTGCTGTTTGGATTTGTGTTTTGTTTTTAAGAACACTTTGTTCTTTACAGGGAAAAATGAAGAACGAAATTGCTGCTGTTGTCTTCTTTTTCACGAGGCTGGTTCGAAAACATGACAAGTTGAAAAAAGAAGCAGTTGAGAGGTTTGCTGAGAAATTGACTCAAATACTTCAGGAGAAATATAAAAATCACTGGTATCCAGAAAAACCATCAAAAGGACAAGCCTACAGGTAAAGAGTTAGATTGGGTGGTTGAATTGGACTAAGTGAAGATCAATTTGTGTAATGGCTACAAGGCCAGGAGACTAAAGGTTTAGAACATTGTGCCTATTATGATTTTATCTGCAAAATACAAAACTCTGGGGTGTTGTGGTATTTTCTTGTTCATTTTAAAGTACAAGGGTTTGCTGATGGATCCTATTGCTTAGTCTTGGGAGGCCAGAGCTCTAGATTCGTCAGTTTGTTTCTTGTGCATACTCTGGCTCCTGTTCAAGTACACTTTGCTGTTATCATGGGTACTTAGGGTTTTTCACAAATCTAAAGGATTCCTAATCTCTTCTAAACGAGCATGATAATTAAGAGTGAGGGAAATTAGTTGCATTGTATCTAAAGGTAAAGTACATGCTGTATGTTCTTTTGAAGAAGGCAGTGGTGGCACACTCCTTTAATCCTGGCACTCAGGAGGCAGAAGCAGGCAGATCTCTGAGTTTGAGGCCAGCCTGGTCTCCAGAACAAGTTCAAGGACAGCCAGGGTTACACAGAGAAACCCTGTCTGGAAAAACCAAAAAGGAAAGAAAAAGGTAAAATAAGATAATCAGACAGAGCCAGACATAGTGGCACACGCCTCTCATCTTAGCACTCCAGAGTCAGGAGCTGGTGGGATTTCTGTGATTTCAAGGCTAGTCTGGTTTACATAGTCCCAGGACACCTCTAAAGCTATATCGAAAGACCCTGTCTCAATACACAAACAGAAGAAGATAATTAGCATAACATGTTTTTGACCTTTCCGATGATGATCTCATTTATATTCTCTCCTTTGTGTCATAAGCCAGTTGAAGGTACCTCACCTGTGTACTTCAGGTGATAAATACTGGCTTGGGGATTTTATGAATGACACCAGGTTTTCGTGAGCTCGTGTCCACCATAGTCTTGGCACTAGGAAAGAAGACAGTATCTACTTGGAACTGCCTTATACTCTGATTGTAAGTTACATGTACAGCTAGAAGAGCAGCCTTTTCTTTAAGCTGCACAAGAAAAACATGCCCCAGCATGCTCACTTTGGTACAGATGTATCTACTGAGAAGCCAAATAAGTCATTTCCTAAAACTTGCTGTCATACCATAATGGGATTGTGGACACGGCTCAGAATTTAAAGTGCAACACTGGTTAGCTGGTGACAGACAACTGCAGAAAGACTCTTATTTGTTCACGTTTGTTGTCCCTACCGTTGGTCCCACAGACCAGTACTTAGGAGGTCACCTATAAGAAGGTCTTCTTGTTAGCACTGAAAGTACAGAGCTATTTGAGAGATCCAGGACTGAAGTGACAGCTACAGATCTTAGTGTTTGTTGTCTCGTACTGGCTTAAAGCCAGTTGGGGTGTGATAGTCTGGTGACAGAGTAAGCCGGCGTAGTTTCGGTGCTGTTTCTTCATTTTTACCCAAGTTTCCTAGTAAGTTGGTCAATATTATGAATACAAGTAGGCATGTAGCTAGTAAGTTAAAAATGTTGTTTCTACATTTTATACAAATGAGATATTTGTAGAGGACAGTTTGGCAATATAAGACCTGTAAAAATATTTATATTCTGAACATTAATTCTCAGAATTTAATCTGGAAACATAATCAGGAATGCAGACAAATATAGATGAATACAAAAGTCTCTTACATATTTTAATTGCCAAAAAATTTAAAAGAACCATCAGCATTAAGTAAATAATATACTATTTTCATGTAACTTTTATAATCTTGCATATAAAGAACAGTTAATAGAAAAGTAGTCCCAGTATGTAGGGTAAAAAAAAAAAATAGCATAAAGATATATTATGTACCTAAATTGGTTAAAACAAACTTGGCATTGTATCTAATTTTAAAGCTTAGCTTCTTCATCACTCTCGTGATTACGATGTGTAAACATGAAGAGCTCCACTGTCTCAACTGCTTTGTACTTGGTGCATGGAACTTGAAGAACCTGTGTAACATTAGAATCCAAAGGATGGGTCCATCTAATAAAAAAGATGATGCAACATCTTATAGACCATAAAATAATTTTTACTCTGAATTTGTTATTTTTAGTAGTGCAATTAAGAAATGATAAGGAGTTGGGCGGTGATAACACACACCTTTTATCACATCTCTGAGTTAGAGGCCAGCCTGGGCTACAGATTGAGTTCTAGGACAGCCCTGGCTGTAACACAGAGAAACGCTTTCAATAAATAAATGAATGGAAAAGTTTGCCAGGTGTTGGTAGTGCACACCTTTAATCCCAGCATTTGGGAGGCAGAGGCAGGCAAATCTCTGAGTTAGAGGCCAGCCTGGTCTACAGAGTGAGATCCAGGACAGCCAGGGCTGTAACACAGAGAAACCCTATCTTGAAAAACAAAAGAAAACAACAACAACAACAACAAAAAGAAATGATAGGGAACTGTGGTTGAGCTTTGAGAGAGGGTTTTTGTAGGCTGTAAATCATACACACTAGGCAAGCACACTATTTCTAAGCTATACATGAACTTTGGAGTTGTTAGCCAGTATTTGAAGTCTAGATTCACTGGTGTGTGATATTGGACAAGTTCCTTAAATGCCTGCCTCCTTTTTTCCCTTACAAGGTTAAAATAATAGCTAGGTCATGAAATTACAAAACAAAAAAAACCAGTTAATAGGAAGCTGTCTATTGCATAGTATGTGATCAAAAAGAATTACTATATTCTAGAAATAGTTGTCTTATGAGAACTTTTTTTAGTGAAGATTAAAATCAGCTAATGAAACAGCTTAACTTTAAAAACTAAATATCACAGCCTTTAATCCCAGTACTCAAGAGGCAGAGCCAGGCAGATCTTTTTGAGTTCAAGGCCAGCCTTATCTACAAAGCAAGTTCCAGGACAGCCAGGGCTACACGGGAAAACCCTGTCTCCAGGGAAAAAAAAACCTAAGTATCACATTGGTACTACACCAGTAATTGAAACACTGGTTGAGTGGTCTTTGTTAGTTACAGAATTTATCGCTCTTATTATTGGGTGCTTGGAATTGAGCCCAGTAACAGAAACTCAAGCAATTGCTGTACTACTGAGCTATATCCACTTCATCCTAAAAGCAGATTATAATGGATGGTCATTGTCAGTTCACTTGTATGTCCATATTCCAGATCCTCAGTTGTGGTAGAGAAGTGAAACACTTTATCTAAGCTTTTACCCAGTAGATAAATTCCAGGAGTAGTACTAATGCCAGATTGTCTTGGTTGAGTCTTGATTGAAAGCAATAAAAT